CAAGGCAGCTCGACGTTGACAACGCCGATGCCCTCGATGCTGAAGTAGCCAAAGTCGACTTGGTCATCTCCCTCATCCCTTACACCCACCACGCTACCGTCATCAAGTCGGCTATCCGCAAGAAGAAGCATGTTGTCACAACTTCTTACGTTTCGCCGGCAATGCTCGAGCTCGATGCTCAGGCCAAGGAAGCTGGTATCACCGTTATGAACGAGATTGGTCTTGACCCCGGAATCGACCATCTTTCTGCTGTCCTCACCATCGATGAGGTTCACAAGGCCGGCGGCAAGATCCTCAGTTTCAAGTCCTACTGTGGTGGTCTCCCCGCACCCGAAGCTTCAGACAACCCGCTCGGATACAAGTTCTCATGGAGCTCTCGCGGCGTGCTTCTGGCATTGAGGAATGCGGCAAAGTACTGGAAGAACGGAGAGGTTGTGGAGGTCGAAGGACCAGAGTTGATGGCAGAGGCAAAACCATACTTTATCTACCCAGGCTACGCGTTCGTGGCCTACCCCAACCGCGACTCTACCCCTTACAAAGAGCGCTACAACATCCCCGAAGCTCAAACTATCATTCGTGGAACGCTGCGTTACCAAGGCTTCCCCGAGTACATCAAGTGTCTCGTAGATATTGGTTTCTTGTCCGAGGAGCCCAAGGACTACCTCAAAGAAGGCGAGAAGCGCACATGGAAGGAGGCTACTTCCAAGATTCTCGGCGCTTCTAGCGACAAGGAGGAGGACATTGTCTGGGCCATTTCGTCTCAAACCAAATTCGCCTCCACCGAGGAGAAGGACCGCATCCTTGACGGTCTCCGCTGGATCGGTCTCTTCTCTTCCGAGAACATCATCCCTCGCGGCAATGCCCTTGACACTCTCTGCGCAACGCTCGAGCAAAAGATGCAGTATGAGGAGGGAGAGCGTGACATGGTCATGCTGCAGCACAGGTTTGAGATTGAGAACAAGGACGGCAGCAAGGAGGTCCGCACCTCGACCCTTGCAGACTACGGAGACCCCAAGGGATACTCTGCTATGGCAAAGCTGGTCGGTGTTCCTTGCGCTGTTGCTGTGCAGCAGGTGCTTGACGGAACCATTAGCGAGAAGGGTGTGCTCGCACCAATGAGCCCGGAGATCTGTGCTCCATTGATGAAGACGCTGTCCGAGAAATACGGCATCGAGTTCAAGGAGAAGAGCATCCCGCAGTAGAGTGGGCCAACATTTAGATTCTAGAGGCACTTTTGATCTCCAAAAATGAGTTTCACGGTATTATAGGTGTGTAGATAATACATCACCAAACAAAAGTACCGTCTCGTCGTGTCATGCTCACATTATCCATAAATTACTTGTGTAGTATTTGTACATGTGACAGCTTTAGTTTCGTAGCCACTGTCTATAACAGCGAGGAGTGATCATAGCCTCCTGACGTCAAAAGACAGCAACTTTATATACATTCTCTCTCAATCCAATCCCGCAATAGGTGGCGCCCCAGAGTTCTTGCTCTTGGATCCTGCTCCTCCACCTAGCCCTCCGCCCATGAACATGTTGCCTAACATATCCATCATCGGGTTGCCCTGCTTCGGTATCTTGATATTGAAATACATTTCACCGATCTGGTCCAGCGCTTCGCCCCAGTTGACATCTTTCAGTTGGCTAGCGTAGTGGCTCCTCAGTTGCCTAAAAAGAGACGCTTCGCCCCTTTCCACCGCCAGCAGAAGAAGCCCCAAGAAATTCAGTAGTGGAAGAGAGGGGTAAACGCGAAGGTCGGAAGATGTGGTAGACACTTCTTGTACCGAGAGCGATGCGGCGTTGGGTGACTTTTGGAGGGAAGAAGAGAACAGGAGGTTGAATTTGTTGGCGGCACGTAAGTTCCCGGCGAGAAGGTAGGGAATTATGCCGCGCGCCGCGTAAAGAGGCGCGGTGTGAGGGCTGTCAGAGGCATACCAAGCGTAATGGAGGGTAGCGAGGGTGGTGGGTGAGTCCTTGGTACCTAGGATGAGATGTCGCTCTGCATCATAGGGCTCCAGATCTACAATTTGGTCAGTTTATTGTTTTCCTTATACCTCATATTGGTAGCGGATGAAACGTACCCTCAGCATACAAACTTCCTGCAACATGATGTATCTCTGGGTCACCAGCCGGGTACTCGCCCGTCCTTGCGCTCCAAGCCACCAATTCGCCCACAAACTTCTTGCGCGTAGGTTCTCCCTTGGGGAACGCCCGGAGTAGCCCCAGAAGTCGTCCTTTGCTCTCCGCGTCGCATTTGATGTCGCCTTTGCTGTACACATCCAGCAACAGGATGCACAAGTCGCCGCCCGAACCACCTTGCCCAGCCTGTAGAAGGGCCTGAGCGCCTGAGTACAGGATATCCGTCGCGGCTGACCAGTTGCTCGCTTTTGTATATCGGCTCGCAATCACGCGTAATTGTTGGTGCGCCTCGTAGTACTCGCCAGCGGCGATGCGGGCTTGCTGGCGCTCGATTGTTTTTTGTATTTTGGACGACATGGCGAGGATGGATTAGACCAGACAAGTATAATGTTTTGTAGAACCGCGCTGAAGATATTTGTCTCCGGAAACACGACAGTGTCCTGGGGCTTTGGGGGAGTGGGCTGGAGAAATGATGGGTGAACTTTACTGATGACGCACAGGCCGCAAGGCGAGGTCAAGACCTACCCCACCTTGTCTGAGTGCGCGTATCATGGTATAGTCACGTCGGAAGGTCGCATATCGGGAGGTTCAGCTTAATTGTATTTTTATATAAATCGGATGCTAGGCATATCTCCTCCGTTCAATACGATCAGTCAATTCTGAGTTGGTACACTAACCTCCCCATATGCAGCCTTCCGACGTGCCTATACCCTGTACATAGATGTATTTGAGCCTGGACACTATGCGGCCAGATCATACCTTTGTATGTATACTCTCCTCATTCCCACAAGATGGACTCTGCAAGTAAATCTAATACCTCTGAATAAAGGTGCGTTTGGAGGATCTGATTGGTGATTCTTGAACTCATTGTGCGAGTCTGTGTAAGCACTGAAGCCAAGTTGAGCATCATAAATTAGATAAAACATATCAAAATGAAGACGGATAGATGTCGTCACCATACTACCTATGTAATCAAATAACTAGCCGTATTAACACAATAAACAAATTCATAAAGAAGACGTCCTCGGCTGGGGAAGTACACATACACAGATTAAATGTATACCTAGGTAGGCACCTAATTTTGCGCGCACAAAGTTGATCAACTACAACCAGGGATATCTCAGTGGATTATTACTATCGTAACACGTCACTCTACGTAGCTTCTTAATGATATACGGATCTTTACCTAGGGTTTAACATGCAGAGGGGCGATACACCGGGAAGTCACATATCAGAAGGAGCACTAGGAAGTCCTACAAATTGGAGGTTCTGCGACTTATGTCCGTTATTTCTAATTTTTAAACAATGTCTAATACACTAGCTGCCTAATACTTGACATCCGGGCGAGACCAGCTTGGTTACCGTCATCGTCTTCTGCCACTGAGGCACCCGGGGCCGGTCATCGCTGAAACCTTCGATCTCGGATTTCTCAGTGACGTCGGGGAAGTCATTCCAGCCAGTCAGGATAGACTGCGCGGATGTGGTTTTGAATGCTATTCCTACCTTCCCCCTTGTAATGGATGCCGCAATCTGGACACATAAAGGTAGTTGACCTTCCCTGGGCAGCGAGAGCAGGGCGGAGTTGAGCATCGCGGGTGTGCACATCGGTACTCAAAATGCTTGTTCAGATGGGATAACACGAAGCGGCGGGATTTTGGCTTTGGCGTCTATGGTCGGGTCAAGCTGGCAACGACGGCACAGGAGGTTGGTTTGAGGTACAATCGAGGATACCTTGTCAATCCACTGCATGAGGAACTCGCGACGAGCGTGGATCAACTCGGCAGAGGGTGAAGCGCTGCCATCGCTGCCGCCAAAATGAATTTTACCAACGTCTTCCAAACTGGGGATAATGGGTGATAGTGCTTGGGCTCCCTGACCGAATTTATCGTCGTGACGTGCTTGGCCTGTTTGAGGCTCCTAGAGACGACTGCTTTGTGGCTGTCTTTGAGTTCATATATACTCTCCTCCATGAGGCGCATATGGATCCTCCTAAACAGTACATTGCGTTACCGGAGGAATTTCTGCAGCTCCTCTGCTATCTCTTGCATATCGTACTTGTACTTAAGAAGTAGTTCCAAGTACCTACCTGCCTTCATAGATGCCAGATTGAAGGGAAGAATCTCGTCCTCTGGGATGACACCTGAGGACTGACGGTCCTCTAGTTCGTGGCTGATTTTTTCGAAGAGGCCATCGAATTCCAGCTCACATTTGATGTAATCGGCGTGCTTCGACGGACGTTCCTTGACCTTTTTTTCGGTCGTTTCCTTGAGATTGAGAGTGGTGGCAGCCGCACCGCCCGCCATCCACCTTGACATGTTTGCCTAAGAGAAGAACTGGCGGACTTGGTCCCTACTCATAGGCGCATCCTGGCCGAACCGATACGATGTCATGTCAATGTCTCGAAAACCAACTTCACTGTAGTATATACAAAGTTAGTTATACGCAACCAGTATGGTTTTAGTATATGATAAGTATCTTAATACGCCACCCTACGTAGTATGTTAACAGGACACAACTCTGCACCGCCCTATGATTTAACATGTCCATATCGCGGGAATAAACTAAATTAAATTCACGCAAGAAGATTACAGTATATTACCAATCTCTCAATACACCACACTACGTGGTGTGTCGATAACACAAAACTCTTTCTTCACACAAGGTTCAACATAGTTATGGAATAGGTGCAATTCAAAAAATAATTACCAAGACAATTGAAAAAGTACGCATATACTTTAAGTTCAACGTGGGGTCTGAGTCGGGCGCGCTCCCGTTCTCCCTAACTTCACCACCAACCAGGGAGCAAAAAACAACTTTCACCCTCAACACAGACATGAGGGCACAGTTTTTTGCTCTTTCTGCACCGAACGGGAATCGAACCCGTGCCTGAAGCAGACTATTCATTGTTTCAATGATGGGAAGCTTCAATTCTACCACTAAACTATCGGTGCTTCTGTGATAGGTGATATGAGTTTTGGCAAAAATTATATATATACCCGTCTCATCCGTACAGTATCGCCATGGCTTTCAATATAGGTATACGATTCTGAAGCCTAGATCATGCAGCTTACATGCGGAATGCGGCCCCACCGTCAGCCAAGTACGTGTTGTAATATGTTCCACTTTCCCCGCAGCGCTACGCCAAACCGAGCCCCAGAAACAGTGGGCGATTTCAACGCCCTATCGCACAGATCCTCACTAAGTATTCAGGTAATCCCCACATATAACCATTGGTCTTTGTGGGTGGTTACTGGAAACGAAGCGAATGTTGTGATGGCATCTCTCTATTTGGCAGTGAAGCCTCGGCCTTTTCGAAGCGGATGTCAGGGGAACGAACCAATCAAAAGTCATAGACATTTGCGACAAGCCGAGTCAGCCTTTCACAAGGTGCCAAAAATGCACTGGTTTGCAGAAATTATGAAATTTTGGACAACATGCTTGATTCTATTACCGGTGCATTTAGAAAAAGCTATATTCTTCAACTTAGCTCGGAATTTTCTGAGTGCGTGATGGATGTACGCGCCATGCATCGAAAACAAGACAAAACCATGGGTCCGCTAGTCAGTAGTTCCTTCAAATTGTCTCACGCAACTTCGAGACCTCTTCATTTTTTCCACTCCAGGGATTGTGTACCACTGCTTGAAAGAAGCAGTATTGGTTGGAACACAAATCCCTCTAATCTGCTCACTTTCCTCTCGATACCTTACTGGGCTGAGATAGTGACGACTTGCCATCGGTATGGCAAAGCTTGCGAAACGAAACGATTGCGACTCCCAGGAGGCGCTAGCTGCCTTTTCCAACTAAGTTATAAGCGTAGAGGAGTATACTTGGTGGACTTTAATATACTCTGCAAGCATGATATTGCTGACGCGAATAACATACGAAACAGCTGGTCTAGGGGAAGTCTTAGATTATCAAGTTATGTGGAAAGCAGATGTCTGACCTGCAACGGACACGACCATGTCGCTATGCATAACTGGAGCATCAGGATCACTTTATGGCAGGTACTGAAAGCGGGATCATTCTTTATTCTTGTTACGCCGCTATAGAGACATCCGTTCCTCAATAATACCTCTTCTTCTCCTAACCTCCAACTTTCCATCCCACACGACCCCCAACGCCACATCCGCACCATTCCTTCCTTTCCTCCCATACAACTCCATCTTCAGCTCTCCCGGATTAGATTGAATGAGCGATGATGCATTAAGCCCCGTCTCTCTGTGCGCTGCCTCCGTCAGCGCAAACGCAGCTCGGAGCTCCGTGAGCCTGAACCCGCTCTGGACCAGGCGACTGTTGAACTGGGAGTCCTGCCATAGCGCGTACATGGAGAGGCCCCAAACAAATTGAATGATTACAAAGATTGCGGCGATCATGGTGGAGAAGCCCCAAACGTATGTTGGGTCCTCAGTATCTGGTATGCATCGAGTTGATTTATATCTAGGGAGGAAGGGAGAATAGAAAGTCAGTTGATGGTTCTAATTACGTGTGTGCCGTCTTGTATAGTATAGATAACAAACATGGAATAAGCTTTTCGCCTACTACGTACATTGGGTCGTAGTCATAGCCTTGTTTCCCAAGACAGAAGCCGTACGCCCAAGAGATGTTGTGGACTGAATTGCTGATGCCGTTGATGGTGATAGGATATGTCTGATTACCTGGATTTTATTAGTCCGAGTGATAATGATGGAGTGACGGAAGCATAGTCACGAATAGGGTGAAAGCTTACATTGCTGCGACTCGCCTCGCACATCAACGACCTGTGTTTGGCCGTCGTAGTTGAACTTGCCTAAGAGAAGTCAGATTGGGATCCAAGAGGCTCCGCCCTTATACATACAGTCCCAATAGCCGTGTCCACCTCTTTGCCATCTCCATTCATTAGGGGTTTGAATTGTTCCGTCCGGTGCTTTACAGTCACCTGCATTTCTTTGTTATTCTGCGTGCTCCAGCAAGCCTAAGGAGGCGCATATTCACAAACTGAGTTGCTACTCACAAAAATTTTGCAAATCAGTCTTTCTTTGGTCCCAATCAGTCAATGATGCATCCGCTTCGCAAGTCGGTTTCTCCAGAGACAAACCTGGGAAGCGGCTCACAACGCGCCCTAGCTGGAGATCGCGGGCTGGCATGATGTCGTTTTGTCCAACACTGACGAAGGCTACTGTCCGACTGTCGTAACCTGCCATTGCGCTTAGGAATGGAGGTATCGATAGGACATGTGCGGTCGATAAGAGCATGTAGAAGAACAAGCACCAAGTCCGCTTGCTGCGCGTCCGACAAAGCTCAACGAGCAACGCCCATGCCGTGTTTAAGCTAGCACCCTCAATGGTGAGACGCATGAAGGTGCGAAATGGCGCAGGGTGTCGCTCAATAAGTCGTAATATCGCGTCTGAAAAAACGACATAGGACAGTATCCACGCGCACAATTGCACACCTCGTCCCATGACCAAGTCCCACGCTGCATCAATGATCTTTGCTTGTGAGAAAGAAAGGCGCCCATATGTTCTATCCAGCACAAATAAAGCCTCGATACCTTCGACTGTGGCATTTACTGCTTCCCCGAATATGAGGATATTGTTGCCGCAGCCCTGGACTTTCGTGGAGAATGCTTCGCGAAACAGGAGGGATTCTCGTCGAAGCAGGACGCCTACTACGAAGAACGGTGCAATGCAAAACGCTAATACAGCGAGTAAAGCAATTAATTGTTTCTTGGTAGATAGCACACTCCTGATGCTGTGCCATTCATCACGCTTCCAACTACTCTGAGTCCACGCTCGCGATGTCGTTGCGATAGGTGTGAATGTTTCGCTTTCTGTTGCCGAACAATCGGTGAAAGATCGAACGAGACGAGCCGTCGATTCTCCATTCTTCTCCTTGTCATAATCTTTAACGAATTGGTCGACGGAACGCGCTGGGGAATAAGGCGGTAACGAGCCATCTATCGACCGGGTATCGATGGAGATAGGCTTGATCCGGTCCATTGAGGCGTTAGCCAGAATGTTCGAAGTCAGGAAGGAGGAAATTGAAATGGGGAGGACAACATTTGAAAGCTTCAATTTTATTCCGTGACTTGGGCTTGGCATTTGGCTCAATTTCCTATCATAGGCGTAAAACTAGATGATCCTAGTCACAATGGTAATCATATTACTAGCGATATTGCCATATACCAAGTTTACTTTACCATACTGGTGCTAGAAGTAAGGGGTACGCATCCTTCGTCTATTTAGTGTTGTGCTGCGCCTCATACTGCCGCGTCGTTCCACGTTGTTTAAGTGGATTAAAGTTCAAAGCATTCACACTGATTGGAGAATTTCTTTGCGTTCCTGTTTTGCTAGCCCTTGTAGCTATTCATCGCAGTTCTAACCGTTTCCTCATGGATCCAATAGGCGGACGTTCATGCCGTACTCAGTATTTCTACATCTGCAAAATTGTGAAATCATTTCATTTTAGGGTATTTGCGTGACAACTGGGTGTAGCTGCTAAATACAATAACAGGGCGCATCATTATAACCATTTCAGGTCTGGATCTGTCTAAGAAACACACACGCGACAAGAAGCTCTTGACATGCAATGAGTTATTGGTACAGCTGGAAGAGTGTGAAAAAATGCGGATAGTTAGATGTTTCCAGCACCCTGGATAACGGGACATGGTGCATCCTGTAAAATCTACAATGCCCATTCTTCTTTGTCGTCCGTAGCAGTGATGAATGGCTCGTCAATAAGTTTGACAGCCATTTCGCTACACAACACACTACACATGATTAGCGGGCTATCTTCTGGAACAGTTGACCGAATTTGACTTACCATGATGACCCAACAAGAGCATCTAGTTCTCTGATGGCCTTTTCCTTTTTCGGGCCAACACTTGTGCCCTTGCTAACCTCTGTTTGCAGCTCAGCAATACGCTTGCCTCTGGCGATTCCTGCCAATTCTACAACCCTTTTCGCCAAACAGTCGCTGTGGAAGGCATGCTGACAAGGAAATACAAAAAACTGGCGCGCCAGCAGAGGCAACCCGCACACATAACATCGCTCTCCAGGCTCAACGATTGCGTATCGCTGCTCAAGCGCTTTGATGTCAGTTTTGATATGTGCAGCTGTCTCCTCGCTTTCGTCCATCTCCTTCTTGAGTTCATCAATCTTGCGAGAATAGTCTTCAAGAGCTGTGCAAATCTCTTCCTTAAAATCGTCAATCACTACGAAGTCGGGAAAGAACGGAATGAGATCTTCTATCCTCAATAGGTCGACCCGGCGAAGGAATTCAATGGCAGTTTTAATGCCCGATGATTGTGAAATGACTTTTTTCGCAATTGCAAGCCATAGCTTTTTGCGCAACGCTGGTTCCGTATTCGAACGATCTGCAACAGTACTGGCAAGGTCCACTTCGTCATATTTCAAGGCAAGGTCAACGGCCTGAACGTATTGAGCCATAGAGCTGTAGATATGGACACAGGATTGCACTCGCTTATGCTGAATGCACAGGCGGAGGGCGAAGTCTGCATCGTAATTCTGTTCATTGGCGTAAGACTGCCCTTCCAAATAACTGAGTAGTGCCGACTCGTCCCGGGTAGGATGTGATGCATATATGGAAATAAGCGTGTTGTGTATCGCAGCATCTGTGGATTGATGCTGGTTGATTTCGAAAAGCAGATACCGCACTGCTTGGTTCTGGTTCAGAGATACTTTGGTATTGTTGTTATAACTGAGGAACGCAGGAATGAGCTTTCGAGCGTCGAGGTTCGTTTGTCGCATCATGATTTCCACGAGATCAACGGGCACATTGGCCATTAGAACGCTACTGTACTTATAGAAGACGTCTGGATCCGTTTGTTTCTTCAAAACGTCGAGTGTCTCTGGCCATCTTTCTCTTTGTACCCAATATGCGAGTACATAATTGTAGTCATTCACAACCGTTGCAAAATAAAGCAGCTCTTCTTCTCTTCCATGACTGCTAGTGA